GTCAAGGAAAATTCATGCTGCTAAGGTGGGCTGTTGATGCCTCAGTTTCACGTGGCTGGACAAACATACGGCCAAACTTCCACATGTGTACCTTGCAGCTGATGAATTGTTACCATCGCAATTACGCGCTCGGTCGATAAGTTATTACAGAAGACTGATCGATCAAATACATTCATAAGTAAGATAGCAACATGTCCAAATTGTATTATATTTGCCCCTTTCCACATTGTAGGGGAACCAGTAAATATTGGCATGCTGATTCAATACAAGATGATGAATCTAGAATACTCTTTATTTGTAGCTTCTTAATTTTGTCGTCCTATGGAGCAGTCATGTGCTTCTATATTATCACACATGTACATACGTAAATATTATTCACAGAGTTATATGTATAACTCTTTTCCATCTTGTTAATTTCGGCGTTCCAAATTCTAGAAACCAGAGCAATGGAATGCGATTTTTAGATTTCGTATTGGCCAATAATATTAAAAACTTTTTGTTTCCCTGTTAAGTTGTATTTGTAAGAACGGATGCTTCTTCTTTGAAGAGGCCTGAATCTAAAACTTTTTGTCTATTAGAAAAGCACCCCTCGTATATAAAAAAAATATGCGACTAAAAGACCTGTTTTCATAAGAAAATCACACAAAAAATCGATCCTTAATAAACCTTGAAGTGCCTTTTTTCTTTAAACTAAAAACCTAACCATATCATACAAGCACCAAACCATATATATAGCCAACAGGAGTCAAGAAAGCCAGTCGTTGGCGCGCTACCTCAGGCGAGGGCTGGCAGATATCATGTCAAGAAATGGCCAAATTGGCAAGCGGAAGGATAGGACGAGTCGTACGTGTACGTGGAATGAAACTCCAATTAGTCAAGGGCTGTTAATGCTCAGCTTCATGTGGATGGACAAACATGCTGCCAAACTTACACATGTGTACCTTGCACGGAGCTGATGAATTGTTACCATCGAAATTATGCGTCCGATCGATCGATCAAATACATTCGTAAGTAAGAGCCTGTTCGGCGGATCGCCAAAATTATGATTGTTGTCCGATCGAAATCGATCAAATACATTCGTAAGCCAGCCACCGGCCAGCCAGCCGAACAGCCCCTAAGATAGCAACATGTCAAAATTGTATTATATCTGCCCCTTTCCATATTGTAGGGGAACCAGTAAACATTGGATTGGAAGCGTGCTGATTCAATACAAGTTGATGAATCTAGAATACTCTTTATTTGTAGCTTCTTAATTTGTCGTCCTATGGAGCAGTCATGTGCTTCTGTATTATCACACATGCACGTACGTAAATATTATTCACAGAATTATTATATGTATAACTGATTTCTATCTTGGTTAATTTCGACTTTCCAACTTCCAAAAAAACAAGAGCAATGGAGTGCTTTGCTGTCTGTGGATGATTTGTTAGATTTCGTATTGGTCAATAATGTTAATTTTTTTTATCTTCCTCTTAAGTTGTATTTGTAAGGATTGATGCTTCTTCTTTGAAGAGGCCTAAATCTAAAACTTTTTTCTCTATTAAAAAACATGAAAAATACCCTTTTCTTAACCCTCGTATAAATAAAAAAACACGCGAGTAAAAGACCAGTTTTTCATAAGAAAATCACACAAAAATCGATCCTTAATAAACTTGAAGTGCCTTTTTCTTTAAACTAAAAACCTAAACAAATCATACAAGCACCAAACCGTATATACATCCAACCGGAGCCAAGAAAAGCCCCAGCCGTTGGCGCGCTACTTCAGGCGGAGTCTGGCAGGTGGCAGGCTGGCAGCAGGCCGAAATGACAAATGGGCAACAGAACTGCAAGTGCAGAGGGAGGCCACTGTCCGTCGGTGACGTGCGGGCCCACGAGCCATAAAAGCAACCCACATGTAGCAAAAGTTTAGACTTGTCCTATCGAATTTTCATATAAATATAAGCTAATTAAAAAACTAATTACATATTTATGAAACGAATATATTAAATCTAATTAGTTCATGATTTAACAACATATTACTACCGTAAACATTTGCTAATAATAAATTAATTAGATTTAATATATTCATCTTATTAATTAGTCTATTTTTATATAATTAGTTTTATAATTAACTCACATTATGTGCCTAAACTTTAGCATCAGACACCCCAAAACGGCCTGCGCACCGCGCACTGCTTTACCTTTTGGGGCGACAGTCCTGCCGCGGGAGCCCACGCGCACCGGATCGGCACCGTGAGTACTCACTGACTCTTGGGTCCACCTTTGCAGAGACCACCTGCCAGTGACCGTGGCGTGCACGAACCGCGTGGCCGAGGCCGCTCATGCCAAAACGAGACTGCACACGTGGCGCGGGCCCAGGCTCCCTCGCCTCCTCTTATCCTCTGTGGCGGAGGGAAATGGCGCTCCTGCCCCTGGAAAAGCGCACAAAAGCGCACCGGCGTGGGCCCCGCCACCTCATCCCCCTCACTCTCTCTCTCTCTCTCGCTCGCTCAAGCGCGCTTGCTCTACGCTACCAGCCTCTGCCTGTCTGCCTCTTTCTTCCCCTTTGCTTTGCAGCCCCCTCTCTCTCTTCTCTGCTCTCTGCATCTCTCTCTTGATCCTGCGTCCCTTCCTCTCAATAAAAAAAGGTTGTTTTTAACGAGGGTTCTGAGTTCTGACCCCTTTCTAGAAGCCCCTGGGTGTCTGTTGCGGACCTGAGCCCCCGCGGAGCGCTCGGGGGGCGCTGAGCCGGCGCCCGCTCCGGCGGATCTGAGTAGCCGACGCGGCTGCTTTGCCTCAGTCCGGTGAGTCATTCTTCCTCTCCCTTGTCTCGGGCTTTTCGATGTGAGATCGACCTCTTCCTTCGGATTCGCTGGCTCCAATCCCAACGTCTGGTTCCAGCTCTGATTCAGCAAAATACGTATCTTTTTTTTTCACCGGCCGGTTTATCGCGTTCCCCGTTTCTCTTTTCGGTGATCCCGATGCGGCTGCCTTGGATTTTTGTTTGGTTTGCGTTTCTGACTAGGTTGATGCCGATTAAGGGTGTCAGAAATGGCTGTTTGTACTGTATTTTTCTTCGTCACTTGGGTTATGTTTTTTCTTTTGCTTTGTTGTGTTTTTGTACTGGTTTCAGTTCAGTACACGGGAGACAGTTTTTTTCCCCTTGATCTGAACGATCGTCGTGTTGCCTCCTCTCACTGTAATCGCTACTGGTTCTGCAGTGCTCAAAGCCATATCTTTTTTGCATACAAGATTTGACCTTTTTCGTCTTTTTTAAATGAATTTTTTTGTTTCTCATATGAATCGTCAAAATATGGTTTGTTTTGTACCTATATCCAGTCTTAGGTGCAAAGATGTGAATCTACTGCTTTAAGAAATGTTCATGCTTATAACCTTTTTTTTGTTTTTTATAAGGGTAATCTTTTTGTTATGCATCACTTCCTGAAAATATTTGCATTTTTTCCTTCCAAATATAGTTTTCCGATGAAGTCAACTTTACTTCTTGCTTTGCACACATAAGATTTTCTTTCTAGTCTGAAACCTTCAAGACAACTCTGAGATTATTTTGCTGGTGAAAAAGTAACCCTCTCTGCTTATTCGGAATAGTATAACTTAAATAAAATTATCACCGACCTGTGTTTGTTGGCTCACTTCATTGGTCCAATCATTCATGTGTTTCATATGTTTCCTCCCTAAGCATAGTATTGTGTGTGCGTGTCATTGGTTGCTTGGAAGAAGTTGGATATTATAGAATAGGATTTTCTAATGAAACCAGTGTCAGGGATGACGATGAAATGTGTCTTGTGATGGTTGGCTTCCATTTTTTTTACACATTATCTCTTCTAGGATTCGTAGTACCTAGTGACCTCGTGGAATATATACTTGCGTTCTTGCAAGCAGTGAGTGGGGGCTTTGAATTATAATATGCACGGAGAACAGAAGATTCCAAGACTAGTTGCCTGCACTTTTGTAGTGGGTTTAACAGTTCTTTATGCCCGGTCGGCAAATTGAGGCGGAGTCCACGGATTAATGAATCAATTGATACCTAGAATTGTCTCAATGCAGATGGCGGCTATATGTCCTAATTAGGAAATAAATCTATATTATCCATGATTTTATATTGCTGGTAGCTGATGTAAGATGTTGATGTGTGGAACATGTTTGAGTGTTTCTCTTGGATTAAGTTGAAAAAAAAGCAACCTGCTGTTTGGGTGGGCCCGTTCGGGTTACCCAGAAAACGGCACTATTTAGCTTGTTTTTTCAGCCGGAACAGTATTTTTCTCTCACAAGAATTCAGCCAGAACAGTGTTTTCAGCCAGTTTCAGCCACAATTTAGCAAGCCGAATGGGGCCTCTGGCAGTAACAAATTTCTGTCATCACGTCAGTGTCATACTATCGTGTACTTTTTTTCAACACGATGTATGGTTACTAGTTCATAAAATAGTAGTACTTATAATAATATTCTTATTCCTGTTGTAAAAGATTCAGAATGATTACTGATGTAGTAGTAATTCTTTTTAATAGTTGCTTATCAATACTGCACAGGTTCCTTGTAACTATTGAACGGGAAACACTGTGAAGAAGAGTTTGTTGGCATCATACATCTCCTGAATTTGGTTTGAAGTTTGCTGATAGGAAAGGTCATGGGCGCTCTCTGCGATTTCTGTGGGGAGCAGAGGTCCATGGTTTACTGCCGGTCAGATGCAGCATCCTTGTGTTTATCATGCGACCGTAATGTACATTCAGCTAATGCACTTTCTCGGCGCCATACAAGGACCCTTTTATGTGACCTGTGTGCTTCACAGCCTGCTATGGTCCGCTGTCTAGCAGAGAATGCATCGCTTTGCCAAAATTGTGATTGGAATGGCCATATTGCAGGATCCTCAGCTGCCGGACACAAAAGGCAGACTATAAATTGCTACTCAGGATGTCCATCATCTGCAGAACTTTCTAGAATATGGTCCTTCGTTTCAGATATTCCTAATGTAGCACCTGAGCCGAACTGTGAGCAAGGAATAAGCATGATGAGCATCAGCGACAGCGGTGTCAGTAATCAAGATAATGCTGCAGGGGACAATAATTTGTTAGATATAGCTAGTGCAACACTTATAAGTGATCTTGGTACTTGTGACAAGCCTTTGGTAGGTTCCTCTTCAGGAGCTGGAGTGAACCTGCTTCCGCTTGCTACTGATCAGACAGCTGGATCTGTGGATTCCACACCAGATAAGGTGCTTTAAGGCTATTCACATACCCCTGATACCTCATACATAGATTTAGTTATTCACCTCTGCTGCTGCATATTCTACTTCCATGTGCAATATATGTAAGATGACCAATGACTTCACTCCCTACAGTTGATGATTATCATTTGAGATGTCACGTACTCCCTCCATACTCAAAAATGAAGTCGTTTTGGACAGCGACACGGTCTCCAAAGCATAACTTTGACTACTTATTTTTATAAAGATATTTATCAAAAAGTGATATATGTAAATTTTTGTGAAAGTATTTTTCAAGACAAATCTATACATATGGTTTTCACATTTCCAAACTCAACAACTTAAAAGTTATTCATGATTTATATTCCCAATGTTTGACCCAAGCCTTGTCCAAAACGACTTCATTTTTTAGTATGGAGGGAGTAATTGTTTCCTTTTGTATGGTCTTCCGTCTGCTTAATATTTCATTTGGTTTGCTTAATGAACAATAAGATAAAAAAAATCCTCACAAAAAAAGATAAAACAATGAATTATGAACAAAAGAATTGCTAATAAGCTTATAAATAAATCTACTGTACCATGCGCAAAAATACTGATGTTGATGAGATCGTATAAATAATTGCATATCCCTGTCTATCTGAAATGAAAAACTGGTAAAAGTATATATTTTTTCTTTATTTTTACTATGTGGCATCCACATATAAATCTTGTTCAGATGCTATTTATGTTACCTAGCCACCACCTTAGTAACTCCTAGGGTGGACAATCTGTATATTATGTATTCCCTTGTTGCCTTCTTTTGGCTGTGAGAATTCACAGATGCAGTGCGGTTAAAGGACTTATTGTATCTTGTCATATGTTATTTCTCTGTATGGCATATGCAACATTTGTAGGCCTTATCCCATTGTAGCGTGCCTTTTCAAATATTAATCTGTCACTAACATATTCGCAGGATTCCTGTGTGCAGGTGCCCTATACACCAGATAAAGATATGTTCAGTAAGGACAGCATATATGAAGATTTTTGTGTGGATGATGTTGACCTTGCTTTCGAAAATTACGAAGAACTCTTTGGTACCTCTCATGTTCAAACAGAGCAACTGTTTGATGATGCTGGAATAGACAGTTACTTTGAAGTGAAGGAAGCACCTGCTGGGAATTCCACCGAGGTTTGTAGTTTGCTAATGAATATTTTTTTCTTAATCCTTTAAGTCATTCACATCCATGTGCACATGCACATCTCATAGTGTTGGTGTTCTCTTTGTTGTGCCAATCAACTGAACCAATTCTGTAGTCCTCCCAATATGTGTAACTTATAAGCTGTTCAATTTCCTGTTACCTCATCAAAGTTCAGATGGAAAACCTACTGCCAAATTGAACTGAGTGATAAGTTTTTCCATGTGCAACTATAATCCTTATTTGAGAAAAGCAGCGAGGCACTAAATGAAATGGTTGCTAGATTATTTGTCATGAACTCGTATCTTTCAGTTTAACCTTTTTATACAATTGAAGTAATAATTTAGCAAGAGTTGGGACTTCAGAAGATAATATGGTATATGGGGCCCAGGTTTTCTTTCTTTTATTCATAGCTTATTATTGACAAACTGTTCAAAATTGTTGACTGTTCTGAAGTGCAAAAAGGCAGGAACAATCTTGCCTTCTTCCTGTTTGTCTTGGGTGTTGAGGTAGAGCTTGTGCCAAATTTACGTATCTGGTTTTGTGTTCAAGAAGTAACCAGTAACCAAGCTCATTGTAACCTATAAGCATTAAATGCATGTCAGCAGATCTGTTAAACCATTTGATGTTATCCCATAGTCAGTTTTGTTTGGACAAATTAGACCTTTGTTTATCATATGATTATTATAGGATTCATGTCTCATGCTTTCCAGCAATCCAAGCTGAAGCAACCTGCAAATAGCAATGCGGTATCTGCTGACTCTGGGATGTCAAACCCAGGAGTGAAAGGTGATTCCAGTGTTTGTATCCCTTTGAGGCAGGCTAGGTCTAGTCTGTCTCTTTCCTTTTCCGATTTGACTGGTGAGAGTAGTGCCGGAGACCACCAAGATTGTGTGGTATCATCATTGCTCCTTATGGGTGAGCCTCCTTGGCAGCCTCCTGGCCCTGAGGGCTCAATTGCTGGAGGTAGTAGAGACAGCGCTATCACACGATACAAGGAGAAGAAGAAGAGAAGAAAGTAAGTTCATCTCTTGTAAATCCTCTCTGCGATTTAACTGGTAACATTGTGCTGATTTGTACCATATGGGAACTCAGTAAAAGAGATTTAGTTGGAGCAATCAATATTTTAAATGCTAGTCACCTAAGTGGTCATTTGTTCATTCTGACAGGTTCGACAACAAGATCAGGTATGCTTCTCGCAAGGCTAGAGCAGATGTGCGAAAGAGGGTCAAGGGACGATTTGTTAAGGCTGGTGAAGCATATGACTACGATCCTCTCTGCCAAACAAGGAGTTACTGAAGTGTTTTAGATTAGCAAACTTAAACCAAGGCTCGTTGCGGCTAGAACAAAAGCACTGGCAATCCAAGCTATTGGGCCAAATTGCGCCTTTGAAAAGAACCAAAAAAAAAAGAGAAAGCCGTCGGCATGATAAAAAAAATACAAAAATATTTGGATGTTTCAGAAGTTATTGGATGAGGATACTCCTTTTTTCTCCTTTACAGTGGATGGAAACCGCATCTTCCGTTCTTTTTGCTGGAGCGATTTGAGTCACTCTTCACCTTTTGTGAATTAGCCTGAACCCAGCTAAACAGACTTGTTGCATTTTGATCTCCATTCTGCTGACTCTGGCATCGGTCCACGTACATGGGCTGGCGGCTGCGGTGTTTTTCGAGGTCTACGTCCAGATTAGACAAAGATGGCATTAGATGTTTACCTGTGAAGTTTCCTTCTATTATTATGATGTAAAATTTGCTGGGATCTGGAGTGTTTCATCTATTATGAGTGTAATTACCAGGTCGGAGTCAAACTGGTAGTCAGTTTGATCTTTTTAAGTTGGTGATGGAACCCATGTAACTGGACAGTGGACACTACTTTCAGTGCTCACTCTGATCAAACCAACCTCCAGACTGGTTCGATGTTATTATCTGTATTGTGTACCGACTACTGAGCAAGTGAGCATGTGCTCAAACCTCAAATACGTCCTCTTGTACCAAACCGCAATATCGGAGGGTAAAATTTTGTCCTATTCTTTTTTTTTTTTTGAAACTTCTGGTTATTTTGGAAAAACAGATGTGGAACACTGCTTTCTTGCTTTTCTGTAGTACACCGTCATATTTTTACTCCCTGCAGCCACAAATTTACTTCCCCAGGTTACAAATAAGCGGTGATGTTTGAGGATTGTCAAATCAACTATTTCAAGCTTTGATTGCATACTCATTTTTATGCATTGAGTTTGGATATTTAAAAATGAATATAAATATATAAAAATTATGTGATTATTTGTCTTAAATATTTATCTTTTATAAAACTATCCTCTTGTTTTAAGAGTATTTTGTAACTCACAAAAAAGCGGTCAAATCTTGTTTTTCTGAAGACGTAGATGTCTAAAATGGCACTTATTTTTTACGAGTAATTCAATGAAGCTACCTACATTATATAGTTTTAAAGAAATGAATTTTGTATTTTAGGTGTTATATTTTTCTAAAGTTAGTACAAATTAGCTTAGGACAAAGCTAAATAAACTATAATTTGAACTAATGGAGTAATTAATAATTTTGTACTTTTTTGTCTGCTCATAATATTATGTTACGCCAAAGTTAGAGTGAAATTATCAGCTGGTGCAACCATGTTAGAATTGGTATCCTAGATAGGAACTTTTTCCCTAACAGGTGTGGGATCATGATTTTATCAGATTTTATAATTTTGTGGTATGTTAAAATGGAAACCTATAATATGGTTTTGATAAATTTAGTTGAAATTTCAAAGTTGAGTGTACATATCCACATTATTTCCAGGACATTTCAACTTTGAATAATATTTATCAGAACTTATCATTTAAAAGGTCACATATATAGCAATTATCAGTTTATCACAACATATAAACAAACCAGAATAATATGGTAAAAATCAATTGCTCATAGAAATTGCCTTAGATGTTCTTTTTTCCGAAGGAAAGGGGACTTATATTAAATCTTGGTCCCCAAATTACATATAAAAAAATCTGAAATAAAAAATACATAAAATTCTATCCAGATTCTTTCATCTTCCCTAATGTCCCTCGAACGCCGAGCCAAAGTGCAGTCCTTATGTCGAATCAACGACTAACCCCAAAACATTGGACATTCCGCAAGATCCAACGCTTCGGAACCAGTCTGAAAGGATCAAGATGTTCAAGAGGGGGGTGAATTGGGCTAATTCTAAATTTTCTTACAGTAATTAAACCCTATTGATAGCCCAATTAACCCCTTGTGCCTAGAAAGTGTTTGTAATGTTCTATCGCACAAATAGACTTACAACATAAGTTTCAATCATACTCTAGCATGCCAATTCTAGGTATGTAAATGACAAGAAATGAATTGCTCAAAGTAATGCTTAAAGTAAATGCTCAAAGTAAAGAGAGGAGAGGAAACGCGGTGATGTTTTGCCGAGGTATCGGAGAGTCGTCACTCCCCACTAGTCCTCGTTGAAGCACCCGCGCAAGGGTGTAGCTCCCCCTTGATCCGCGCAAGGATCAAGTGCTCTCTACGGGTTGATTCTTCGACACTCCGTCGCGGTGAATCACCCACAACCGCTCACAATCTTGAGTCGGGTCACCCACAAGCTCTCTGGATGATCACCGAACTCCCAATCACCACCAAGCCGTCTAGGTGATGGCGATCACCAAGAGTAACAAGCACGAGCTCTCACTTGACCACGCAAAGCCTAATGAGAAGATGGATGCACACTTTGCTACTCTTGATTCACTAATGAGGTTTCACTCTTGGATTCTCAAATCACAAACACCTCACTAGGACCTTGCTCTTCTTGGCACTCACAAGTGTGTTTCTCAGCTGTTGGAATGAGCAAAAGTAACTCCACACACGAGTGGAGCTTCTATTTATAACATGGGCTGAAAAACAAACCGTTATGTGCCTCTGCGGGATGATCGGACGCTCTGGTCATTCTGACCGAACGCTCCGGTCAGTTCAACCTGCACACCAGTGTTTAAGTGTTGACCGGACGCTGGCAGGGTCCGGTCACCACTGACCGGACGCGTCCGGTCGCAAATATCCCTCATTGGAACCTTACTGGAGTCGACCGGACGCTGGTCCGGTCACTTGACCTCTCCAACGTCCGGTCAAACCGGACTAGTTCACCTCAGTCAAATGAACTGACCGGACCCTGCGGCCAGCGTCCGGTCGCACCGGAGCCAGCGTCCGGTCAGTCTTTGACCCTCCATTCACTTCCAACTCTCGATCATTTGTGAATGAAGTTTGCTCCATAGGATCATAGGGCTGTTGTGGAGCTACCTAGTGCTAGTTTCAACAAGTGTGCACCACACCTAACTCACTAGACTCATCTAGGTCAAGCTATCCGTCCATACCCCCCTTAATAGTACGGCCAAAGAAAAAACAAAGTCCTAAACTACTATAAGTGTCTCTCCAACTCCAATCGACACTTAGAACTAGTCATCCTTAACCTTGTCATCCATCCTTTTAAAACCGAAACGATTTCCATCGTAGGGGCATGAAAACCATGATTGCCCAATCAATCTCCATTACCGTGACCTAACTTAATTGCCTCTGCAAAACACACGTTAGTCACAGTAATCTAACATTGTCATTAATCACCGAAACCCAATTAGGGGCCTAGATGCTTTCAATCTCCCCCTTTTTGGTGATTGATGACAATACAACCTCGAGTATGTGAAAGAGTTGAGGTTTTTAACATGTTTGGATCATATAAGCTTTTAGCAATAAGAACAAAAGAGTTAGTCAAGCTTATATAACCCAAGCCATCATGATGTACTCAGATGATATGAAATAAGCATGAGTACAAATAATAAAGCTCATTTGCATCGAGTATAAACGCGGAAGCAAAAGCAAATGAGCATAGCTCAAGTGATATGACATATTAAAGAATTCAAAGTAGAGAGCACACATGTCATATATCACAATCACGTAGATATCACTATCACATAGATATAATAGTATGCATGAAAGTAAACACACGAATGCATAATAGTAATAGTGACATGTCATATATCACAATCACGTAGATATCACTATCACATAGATATAATAGTATGCATGAAAGTAAACACATGAATGCATAATAGTAATAGTGTATCACACAAATAAAACTCCAAATGTAAATAAAAGACTAATAGCTAACTAGCTCCCCCTAAATGTCGCTCCCCCTGAGTCTACATACTCAAACCCTCTCCCCCTTTGGCGTAAAACACCAAAACCTAAGGGCTGGTCGGCGGGGCTACAGCGGACGAGTCGGGCACTGAAGAACGAGGAGCAAGCTGAAACTGGGCAGCAGCATCATCTAACCCTGAGCTCTGTGCTGACTGACCCTCTATGGCTGGAAGCGTCGCTGAAACGGTCTGGGTTTGAGCTGGGGCAGGTGCTGCCTGTGATGCTGCTGGTACATCTATCGTAGGATCTAATGATGCGATAGAAGAAGGGAGCCTCTGAGTAGTCACAGTGACAGGGGCTGCTGTAGAAGGACCTAGGGCATGCATATGTGGTGGTGTAAGCATCCCTGTCAACTCGCTGAAAGATGCTCCAAGACTCCTGGAGACTGACGTGTCAGGCACAAATAGCGAGGATGACTGATCCGGTGTGAAGCCCGTCTGAAGTGGTGTGAACTGCGGGGCTACCACTGGCGAGGATAACCACTGGGACACCTGTACTGGGGGAGAAGCAAACTGAGCTGGAGGATGTCCCTGACTCTGAAGCCCATTGGGCTGTACTGCTGGAGTCGTCGTAGTGGTGGCAGGCTGAGCAATCTGGAGCGAAGGCTGTGGCTATGGGGCCCCAAGAGCTGTCACAACATGTTGCATGAATCCCATAAGCCGCTCTTTTTGCATGAGTAATCTATTCTTTGATGCATGCATGCTGCTGCTTCTTCTTCTGCACTAGAACTCGTCCCGACAAGCCTCGAAATCGTTTCAAAGTTGGCGCAGCTCCGAGCTGTCGTGCACGATCCTACATCCGCTCAAGAATAGCAATCGAGAGCGGGGTCCATCTCAGCAGTGGTGGAGCTAAGCTGGAACTACCGCCTCTGATCGTGTCTCGCGTGGAGGCATCTGAGGAATAGGCGGTAGTCGCCATCCGAACTATCACTAGACTCGCTCTCATCCTCTTTGAAAGCCTCAAGCCGCTCCTCCTCGTGAGTCATTATGCCTCGATAATCTCGTCCTGTTTGAGCTACGGACTCTGGTACATCCTGGGCGACGGCGAGGGGCCGACCGGGTGCCCGAGGAGTCTTGTGTCTCGATCCTCTGTGCCATGTTATATCTTTGGGAACTC